CGGCGAGCCGGCGCTGACGGCCACGGCCACCGTGCTGGTGTCGCTGGTGGAGAGCGGCCAGGCGCCGAAGGCGTCGTCGCAGGCATCAGCTGGTATAGTAGGCCCAGAGGCTGCCCTGGTAGATGTCAACGTGTATCTGATCATCGCCATCTGCGCGGTGTCCAGCCTGTTGGTGCTGACACTGCTGCTATACACGGCATTTCGGTGCTCGGCGCCCCCCACCGAGGTCGCGTGCGGACCTGGGAAGGCCACGCTGGTGTGTTCCAGCGCGGTGGGGAGCTGGTCGTACTCGCAGCAGAGGCGGCAGAGAGTGTGCTCTGGGGAGGGACCGCCCAAGGCCGACCTCATGGCTTTTAGCCCTTGTGTTCCTCCCAGTTCGGGGTCTGGAGACAGTGGAGCCCAACAAGAGATTTTTGAGAATGTAAGTACAATAATCTGGAGATGTATTTTATGCCCGTTAATGTCACTCACGTAGTAGTTTACCAGTTTATTACTGTAAGTTTATTGCTTTATTTACTTGTTTGTTTGTCTCTTTTTCTGAGATGGTTTATTTAAAGCACACTGGAAGTCTTGCCATCTTTATCAGTTTTCACTATATCATCATGAATATTCTTTAGGAATATACTTTGGGTGCAATAATAATAATGATGATGATGAAAATAGTAATAATGTAATAGATTGAGCCAAAGTTTCTTGTAAATGAGGAAAGTTAAGTCTGCCAGGAAGGAGACCAGGATCATGATGGGATATGTGGCACATGGTCAAGGCTCAAATCTACTTCTCAATTTTGCAGCAAGTTCATTCTTTCTATCCTTTTCTTAGTCTAATTGGTGTACTCCACTCATTATTATGTTTATGTATTCAAAATTACTGAAATAATATTTAACTTCATAATTTATTTGAGTTTAAAACATACTTAAAATTTCACTTTCCTATAATCTATAAGTTTATCTGTCACTAAGGGGTATGGGCAGGCTTGAGGCAGGTTTCATTTTATAAACAATTTTGTTTCTTTATCATCAATGTCATGCTATTTTGAGATTATGGTTGCAGTGGGTGAAGTTTGAGCCTTGCCTTTGGAGGTAATTTTCTTTTCTTCTTCTTCTTCTTTTTTTTTTTGTTTTTTGTCTTTAATCCAGTTATAATTTCAAGCTCATTTTCTTCATAGTCTTCAACTCCTTCAGATAACAACAATTTTGTTCTTTATTTTCTAACATAATGTCACTTCTGCTTAATTGCCTGTTAAACTCTTTTTACTCCCGTCCAGTTTTATTTATTGCATTTTTCTACTTTCTCGAAAGATTTATTTGAGCATTGATCACATTCATTTTTTCTTCCATTTTTGGTAACTTTAATGAGGCTTATGGAAATATTTTAGGGCAGGTAAATTCTTTGTCCTTTGAGTTTAAGAGAGTCTTTCCATATATGGTGAAGTGTGGTGCCATTGCGTATGTTTGCCAAGCTGCATGGTCTTCAAAATTAAATAACTTAAGCATAAGAATCATGGAATATCAATAAAGGCACTTTCACCTGACAATCATGGTGTTGATCACACCTCAGAATTTCACTTTGTATGCTCTAGATACATTTGATGCAAAATATTTTTTATCTCAACACCACATTTATATGAGTTGTTTTCTTTAAAGAGATTCCAGAAATCTTGTATTTAGAGCTGTAGAGATGCATATGAAATAATGTGGAAGGTTAATTTGTTCTCTTTGGCACTAATTACAAATGAGATAATCTTTAACATTCTACTGTGTGTAGAAATAAATTATATACACTGCACTTACATGTGGGAGGACAACCGTATTATAGATAGGGTAAAGTTAATAGATACGCTGAAACGGCATTAGTGGCTATTTCCTACCTAGAAAGATGACTCCTGGGATGATTTTCTTTTCTTTTTTTTTAAAGATGACCGGTAAGGGGATCTTAACCCTTGACTTGGTGTTGTCAGCACCATGCTCACCCAGTGAGCTAACCGGCCATCCCTATATGGGATCCGAACCCGTGGCCTTGGTGTTATCAGCACCGCACTCTCCCGAGTGAGCCACGGGTCGGCCCTGGGATGATTTTCATTAAGATGAACATTAGGAAAATCTTCAGAAAAAGAAAAGCCATGCCCCATGCCCCATGCCCTAATTTAAGCTGCTGGAATACTCTTCATCCATAGTTTTAGAATAAGAGCAAACATTGGTCAATAACTATAATGAACTACCATGGTTTGAGCTATTTCTATTTGCTAGACATGGTACAAAGGGTTTAAGATATATATTTAATCCTGACATCAATTTGTAAGGTACATATGACTATCCAAAATTTAAAAACAAGATAAGAGATGTTGAGATATTTTTCTATCTTGTACATTGCCAGTCAACTGGTACATGATGGAAATGATGTTCAAATGCATATCTTTCAGATTATAGAGCCATTCTTTTATTCGCTGTAATGTAGAGGTTTTTTTTTTTTTTTTTTTTTGGTGATTTTTTTTCTCAGCTCAAGCATAGTTCTGACTAGGAAAATCAAGCACAAGCTGTTTACAGGTGAATTCTCTTTTTTATTTTGCTTAGAAAAATACTTCATGATTATCTTCATCATTAATTTTGTACAAGGTCATAACTGAGATGGCCATTAAGATATTTTATGTTAAGTGATTTTTTTTCATAGATGAGTTCATGATCACCATCATTTGTTTTAATTAATGCCACATTTAGATAGGTATTTACATTATTCAACCAGTAAATAATTAAGAGTTGCCTTATAAGAACTATGGATCAGTTTTTTGGAAGTCGTGGTTTCCAATATTTTTACAGAACACCAAAGCCAAGTGCCACATACAAAAATGACTTCATTCTTCCCTTGTCATGAATAAGGTAGCATTTTGGACAACTGTAAGTAATAATATGATGATTTCAGGCCAAAGGATCCGAGAAATGTTCACAATACTGCATACTTCAATAGCAGCTTTAAAGGCATAGATATCTCATGAAAAATTTTAGACATGTGTAGATCTACCAGGATTCAGTCTTTTTCAGTCTTTGTGATGTCTGAGAGGCTTGTGCCAACTGGACAAATGATTTGTGATCAAATAACTATTTATTTGAATAAGCAATGAAAGAGCAGAATTAGCATCACTGAATAAATCCTATAATTTAGTTAATACAATGGTTGGGTAGTGTTCTTCTAATTATTAATTTTGGAGAAACTCCTGGGACTCTGAGAATAATGGTTTCAAAATTTATTTCTGTGTTTTATGTTTTCAAGAAATAATAGCACTAGATCTATTATGGAATATTAGTGGATGATGTGGACTATTTGAACATTAAACCATGCACTCTAACATATAACTGGCAGGACATAGAGGTAGAATGTAAGGCTAACCAGATTGATTGAGTAAAGATCAGAAACAAAGTTCCTCAGTCTTAAATTAATTTTACAAAATCAGTGTGAACAATGATACTGATATAACTTCTTGGCATTACCTTATAGCCAGATATTAGGCCAATCCCCAAAGATCTTCTCTAGAGGCTAGTGACATCTGAAATATCACAGTCAGTCTACAGCCATACCACCCTGAATGTACCCAATATCATCTGAAATATTATAGTCAAAATGCAAAAGACGAGTCACTGATTCATATACTATATCAAACTCTTTTATGAGTTAGTGTTGGTCCAGCATCACTTTACATATTCACAAAATACTGCATTATTGGAAATTAATACCTAATTTAATGTCTGGTTTTAATCCAAATATGTGATAACATCATCTTTCCTGGGTAAACTTTCTCATGCTCATTTCTTTATTTTGGAAGACTCCACATTGCATATAACATCTCAATCCCCAATTCCCATAATGAGGTTGTTGGAGATTTGTTGTTTCCTCTGTCCCAAATAAATCTGACATGCTTCAAACGTCATGTTAAGTCTACTATTGTCTGGTCTAATGTAATATTTTGATTAGAGGCCCATATGATTGATTATTTTACTGATGCATAATAGAATTCAGTGTCATAAAAATTTATATGTCTCCTTCAGTTTTTAAATATAGAATTTTGCATTTACTTAAGAGTTCTAGTGTTATGATAATATTGGAAAAATAGTAAATTTGAAAAACGTAGAACAAAATCTCAAATTAGTAATAGAATATATTCATATTTAAAAAGTCAACATAAAGAAAAATAACAACATACAAATATGATGGTAATTTTAAAATATGCCCTTACAATATTTTTAGATTGAGGATAAACCATCAAAACTATATGACAAAATATACAAGCCAGAGTGATATTTATTCTGGGTCACTTTCTACTCTAAATTTCTGTTGCATCTTCTTTTCTTCCCTTTAAATCTTAAGGGTATATAAAAAGAGAACAACAAAATAACCAAATTACTACTTCAGGCAATGAAAATTCACATCAACAATTCCTGCTTTTCACTTACTATTCTATGAAATTCCATTTCCACAAACACTATGGTCATTTGACATTTAGTTGAGTTGTTTGATTTATTATTATTATTATTATTATTATTTATTATTATTTTGTTTGTTTTGGTGGACTATGGTCATTTGACATTTAGTTGAGTTGTTTGATTTATTATTATTATTATTATTATTATTATTATTATTTATTTTGTTTGTTTTGGTGACTGGTTGGCATGGGCATCTGAACCCTTGACCTTGGTGTTATCATCACCACTGCTGTAACCAACTCAGCTAACCAGCCAGTGCTATTTTCTGTTTTAGATACAGTATAAGGCAATTCGAAGAGATATAATTAAAAATTCACTTTCCTTATTTTGGATGAACTTATGATCTCAACCCCAAATTCTTTGAAGAAGAAACAAAGTATTTTCATGAATATATCTTGATTGGATTAAGGAAACAAATGTTGGTGACTTGGAAGTAACAACATGTCACAGAAATTCTCACGTGGTTTTATTTATTTCACTGAATATACTGAAATTCATTCTATGGTAGAAAAATACTACTATCATATCATTGACTCCTTCATGTAAAGCAACATTTTAATTTATTATACTATTAGCAGTGTGACATGTGAGAAATCATATATGTCAAATATACAATTCATCTAGATCAGTTGACTTTTCTCTTGTGAATTCTGTTTTATACTACCAAATCTGAAAATATATCATTGATTATCTTAATATTTTCTTATTGTTCTGCAATGGATACAAAAATCACTTGTAACAAGAATACCATTAAATGTAAATAACAATGAAGAATCAGAACTTAAGAAAATAGACACAGGGAGGCAAGTCCACATAGGTAAGAACATAGTATGCAGAACATAAAGACTAAAGAATAAAGAATTATTATTAAACTTCAGGTTTTTCTTTGAGTTTCTCAGGAGCCAAAGTAACAAGGGAAACTGGAAGTAAAACAACTCAAATATGATAATATTTTTATATGAGGAACAATGCCTTCAGGAAATGTTTAACCCTAGTTTTTTTAAATAAGGCTACCTAAAGAATTGAAGTCTTTCTCTGTACGCCTTTCAATAGGTAAAAAGAATAATTTTATAACCCTAAATCAAACATAGAAACAACAATTTAAATTAGATACCAATCAAGAAATAAAGTGCCATTTCCACATATATTGAGTTTCGATATGACTTAAAATCTGAGTGTTCCATAAATAAGCACTTTGGAAAGATTATTAAGAGAAAAACATAACAAAATACGTGAAATTCTATGGTGGTGGATATGGCGCACATTACTCACAATTTTAGGCACAAGGTGTCGCTCTTTACTTGATGGAAAGAATTCATTCATACGTTGGTCTGAAGAGTCAGGCACTCCCCACACAAAACGACGTCATCATGCCGGATGTCGCTGTTAAAGGATCCTTGGAAATGTCTCAAAAATTCAGCAAGATTTTAAACCTAAAACGGAAGAATCTGGTACTTTAAATGTATAGAATCTCATTTTGGAAACCAATTTTCTGTGAGATGTTCAGTTTTCAGAGAAAGGGATTGGGCGCTCCAACACTACTGTTCTCGCTTCTGCTCCTCGCAGCCTGGGAGGCAGGGAGCGGCCAGATCCACTACTCGGTCCCCGAGGAGGCCAAACACGGCACCTTCGTGGGCCGCATCGCGCAGGACCTGGGGCTGGAGCTGGCGGAGCTGGTGCCGCGCCGGTTCCGGGTGGCGTCCAAAGGCAGAGAGGACCTTCTGGAGGTAAATCTGCAGAATGGCGTTTTGTTTGTGAATTCTCGGATCGACCGGGAGGAGCTGTGCGGGCGGAGCGCGGAGTGCAGCATCCACCTGGAGGTGATCGTGGACAGGCCGCTGCAGGTTTTCCATGTGGAGGTGGAGGTGAAGGACGTTAACGACAACCCGCCGGTGTTCTCTCTCAGAGAACAAAGGCTGCTGATTTCTGAATCTAAGCAAGTGGACTCGCGTTTTCCGCTAGAGGGAGCTTCTGATGCGGATATTGGAGAGAATGCTCTATTGACCTACAGACTAAGTCAAAATGATTTTTTTTCTTTAGAATCATCAACAAATAATAAGCAGACTAAAAAACTGTCACTTATATTAAAGAAGTCTCTGGACAGAGAGAAAACTCCGGAACTTAATTTGCTACTGACGGCTACAGACGGGGGGAAACCCGACCTCACCGGCACCGTTCAACTGTTAGTCCGCATCTTGGATGTTAACGACAATGATCCGGAGTTTGATCAATCAGAATACAAAGTGAGATTGATAGAAAACGCTGATAAAGGAACTCTTGTGATAAGGTTAAACGCGACAGATCGAGATGAAGGAGTCAACGGCGAGGTAACATACTCTTTAATATCAATTAAGCCCAATAGAAGATCTTTATTTACACTAGATAAAAATCATGGAGAAGTGAGGGTCAATGGAACTTTAGATTATGAAGAAAACAAGTTTTATGAAATTGAAGTACAGGCCACAGATAAGGGGAATCCCCCAATGGCAGGCCACTGTACAGTCTGGGTAGAAATCTTAGATACCAATGATAACTCCCCTGAAGTCACTGTGACTTCCCTGTCCCTTCCAGTACGAGAGAACACTCAGCCTAGCACTGTCATTGCGCTGATCAGCGTATCCGACCCCGACTCTGGTGTCAATGGACAGGTGACATGCTCTCTGACGCCCCATGTCCCCTTTAAGATTGTGTCTACCTACAAAAACTACTATTCACTGGTACTGGACAGCACCCTGGACCGCGAGAGTGTGTCTGCCTATGAGTTGGTGGTGACAGCGCGGGACGGGGGCTCGCCTTCGCTGTGGGCCACCGCCAGCGTGTCCGTGGAGGTGGCCGACGTGAACGACAACGCGCCGGCGTTCGCGCAGCCCGAGTACACGGTGTTCGTGAAGGAGAACAACCCGCCCGGCTGCCACATCTTCACGGTGTCGGCGCGGGACGCGGACGCGCAGGAGAACGCGCTGGTGTCCTACTCGCTGGTGGAGCGGCGGGTGGGCGAGCGTGCGCTGTCGAGCTACGTGTCGGTGCACGCGGAGAGCGGCAAGGTGTACGCGCTGCAGCCGCTGGACCACGAGGAGCTGGAGCTGCTGCAGTTCCAGGTGAGCGCGCGCGACGCTGGCGTGCCGCCTCTGGGCAGCAACGTGACGCTGCAGGTGTTCGTGCTGGACGAGAACGACAATGTGCCCGCGCTGCTGGCGTCTCGGGCTGGAGGCTCTGGCGGGGCGGTGAGCGAGCTGGTGCCGCGGTCGGTGGGCGCGGGCCACGTGGTGACGAAGGTGCGCGCGGTGGACGCCGACTCGGGCTACAACGCGTGGCTGTCGTACGAGCTGCAGCCGGCGGCGGGCGGTGCGCGCAGCCCGTTCCGCGTGGGGCTGTACACGGGCGAGATCAGCACGACGCGCGCCCTGGACGAGGCGGACGCTCCGCTTCAGCGCCTGCTGGTGCTGGTGAAGGACCACGGCGAGCCGGCGCTGACGGCCACGGCCACCGTGCTGGTGTCGCTGGTGGAGAGCGGCCAGGCGCCGAAGGCCTCATCGCGGGCGTCGGCGGGAGCCGCGGGCCCAAAGGTGGACTTGGTAGATGTCAACGTGTATCTGATCATCGCCATCTGCGCCGTGTCCAGCCTGTTGGTGCTGACGCTGCTACTGTACACGGCATTTCGGTGCTCGACGTCACCCACCGAGGTCGCGTGTAAGCCTGGGAAGGCCACTTTGGTGTGTTCGAGCGCGGTGGGGAGCTGGTCGTACTCGCAGCAGAGGCGGGAGAGAGTGTCCTCTGGGGAGGGGCCGCCCAAGACCGACCTCATGGCCTTCAGCCCTAGTCTTCCTCCAGGTCTGAATAGAGAAGACGAAGGAGAAAGGCAGGAGGCAGGATCAAATCACCCTGGACAGGTGAGCTTTTTACAGATTCCACCTATTCAGGTAGTCTTTCTTAAAGCTTTAAAGATCTAGTTTTTTTCAAGGACATTTTTATGAATACTCTCTATTTTGAATATTGTTTTAAAGAAAAATGTTAGTGGAATGCCCAATTATATACTTATCCAGTGTTTTAATCAAATGAAGAATCAGGTTTCCTTAGCCAATAAATGTCCTGTTTCTCTGTTTACTTAGAATGTTAAAAGAAGATTCCAGAATGACTTCTTTTATCACTTAAGTTGAAATAATTACCATTTTTCATTCATCTACCCATACTATTTCATCTCTAATTCTTAGCGAGGTTGATAATTACTGTAGATTATTTAAATTTGTTTATCTTTGTCTTTTAACAGTGTTTTTCTTTGGTATTTTCACATTATTAGAACAATTGGCTTTTGAAACTTCAAGATTGTATCAACTTCAAGCTTGTATCACAGATTTGCTCAGTAGCAATTTTTCTTTTTCTACAGCGTTAACCACTTAACAAAATTTATTATACATTAAATAATCTATACTTTTGCCTTTACTGCTGGTAAATAATATGAAAACCGCTTTTCATATTATTTGAAGAAAAATTCCAGGCTTGCATTCTAACATGCTGCTTTCATTGAAATAACATAACTAAAATTCTGTCCATTCTTTCTTCCATGAAATAGCAAGAGATTTATCGTCTATTACATACTGAAACAAAACTGCTTGATTTATGCTTCCACAGTAAACTAAGCAAATAAAACTATTCAAATTATTTGCTCAAGTCAGGCAAACTTGCTAAAGCATGCATATATGCCTATAATATCTGTAATATATGTCACTTGGCATTTTCCTTAAGTTTTTCAGATCAATTAGAAAGGAAAAAGTTAACTCTATTAACTTGAGTGCCTATTAACAATTATCAGTTTCATTCATCTCACATTTTAACTACTGTCTTTAAATATGTTATTTCTTATGTTTGTGAAATTTTCTTTGCATATGGTATAATCACATCTGAAGATTCTAGAAGGATCATTTACCTCTATGTCATTCTTCTAATTCAGTGATTCTTAGCTACATGTAGAGTAGAGGAATAACAGACCCCTTTTACAGTCATACATGGCCATTTCCCCCTAAAAGTTACACACCATACTATTTGGCACAATATTTGAGGAGCCTGTGCTGAAGTTGATTCTTGGACCTCAGGTCAAGAACTTCTGTACCTTAATATTAATTGGCTAAAAACCTTTATTAAAATATTCAAAAGTTGGAAACAAGATACAAAATATAACATCTCAGACTCAAAAGTGATTAAACTATCATATCTTTTAAACAACTTTGTAAATATAATAAATGTGAATATTAGATAGGGTATACATTACTACCCATCTCAAAATGAAGTTCTTGGAATAACTCAAGGTCACTCAAACCTAATTTTAAAAGATATTGGAGTATTTTGAGTACAGGTTAAAATTTCACAAGTCATTATTTTCATGTTACATAAATAACCAATGCATATTTTAGATAATTACAGATTACCCGGACTAATTTCTAGAAATTCAGTGTCTCTTATACTTATTCTTGATATCAGGATTACATTCCTTGGTGTAAAATTGTATTTCAAATTATTTTCTAATTCAGTTTAAGTATTAAGCTAAACTTAGATGTTCTTCTCTGCTTAATAATTTAATTATGCCTAATGGTGTGTGAGGACCACATAACACACTATTTTTCCATTAACGTTCTTTAGCAATTATGGTACATTTACCATTTTTTGGAAATGAAAAATGGGAAATAAACTTTATGGTGATATTAGACAATTTAAATAATTAGTCTGACAGCATCAAAATTCAATGTGTTTTTGATTAAGAGCCAGTTTTATAGTTGACTTAAGTTATCTTATACTTGTAGAGCCATTGTTGGTTATTCCTTTCTGGTTATGTAAAGATTTCACATCTCAGTTCCCTTAATTATTGCATGTAAAAGGAATGGCAACAACTTATTGGTTTAAAGATTTTGACCTGAATGTCAATGAACTTGTAAATTTATATTTTCTTGTCCACAATGAGCTGTAGGATCTTATCTGTGTTTTGTCTTCCCTTAAAGATAGTCTCAAATTAATGAATAAAATCATGAAAAGTCTTTTGATTCTCCCTTACATCATAGTCACCTTTCTGATTCTCTGAAGAGAAACATTTTATGAGTAGCTCCTTACCTGTAGGGAAAGGCTTAGAGGAAAACCAAAAGGTCAGTATTAAGTTTGTATTCTTTTGACTTTAGTCAATGGTGTTAGGCTCCAAAACACTTCAAGAGATTTTTTGCATAGTAGTGCTCTATTGCCACCTTAGTATATCGTGAAATTTGGAGGCATCTACTCAACATTTCACATAAAAATGCTTTATGTCTCCTAGAGCAAAACTGTCCAGAATCTGTACCTGAACTGTGGGTTAGCATGTTATGGGAATGAGAGCAATTGTATGAAAAGTCATCACATTTTAAGCATCAAGGAACAAAAAAAAAATAAAATAAAATAAGACGTCTTTCATATTTATGATGAACTTTAATATTTACCAGGTATTTGAATAAAACAATCTATATAAATGAAATATTACTTAGTTGATAGAGATATTTTAGTTTCTTTTTCTTTACTAAAGGACAGAATTCTTGACTTTCTCCCAAAGGCTAACAATGGAATGATTGAGAGGGGTGAAAGTCATTACAACAGTGTGAATTGTAAGCCATATAAAGGCAGGGCTGATGTATACTATTCATTATATAATTCTCCATGATAGCTAAAGAGTAGCCTCTAACATACTGTATTTCAAACATTCTTTTATGATAAACCTCGAAGCAGAATATTTTTAAAACTACAGAATAATAAAATAATTTGTGCCTTTTTACTAATATCATATATATTATATAAATAGGGATTTACAAATGATCTGTGAAAATATCCAAAAGTCGAAACGTAGAATTTAGGGTGACCCCGGAAGCGGCCAAATCGAAAAGAACCTCAGGATCTTTCTTGTACTTACATAATCAGTCACATGATGTCGCTGTACACTCAAAAGGTGAAAAAGGAAAATTTTGTCTCGGTATTCCAACCATTCACAGACAAGGATCAACTCCATATTGACCAGATTGCTGGAAAAATTTCACTAAATACGTGCTTACAGAAAAGGGAGACTGCCCATAAAAGATCTCATGCGAGTGCTCCCTTAAAAGTGGCAGTCCCACTTCAGAGGGCTTCCTTATCTGCGATGGTGTTTATCTGGCAAGGAGGTCCGGGATCCCGCCCTCTGCTGCTCTCGCTTCTGCTCCTCGCAGCCTGGGAGGCGGGGAGCGGCCAGATCCACTACTCGGTCCCCGAGGAGGCCAAACACGGCACCTTCGTGGGCCGCATCGCGCAGGACCTGGGGCTGGAGCTGGCGGAGCTGGTGCCGCGCCGGTTCCGGGTGGCGTCCAAAGGCAGAGAGGACCTTCTGGAGGTAAATCTGCAGAATGGCGTTTTGTTTGTGAATTCTCGGATCGACCGGGAGGAGCTGTGCGGGCGGAGCGCGGAGTGCAGCATCCACCTGGAGGTGATCGTGGACAGGCCGCTGCAGGTTTTCCATGTGGAGGTGGAGGTGAAGGACGTTAACGACAACCCGCCGGTGTTCAGAGAAAGAGAACAAAAGGTATTAATTTCTGAATCTGCGCCTCTGGACTCTCATTTTCCTCTAGAGGGCGCTTCTGATGCGGATATGGGCATAAACTCTCTTCTGACATATGTGTTAAGTCTGAACGAGCACTTTGTACTTAAAACAATAACGAAAAAAGATAAAAGTGTATCACCTGGATTAGTTCTTCGGAAGTTATTGGATAGAGAAGAAACGTCAGAACTTAATTTATTGCTGATGGCTATCGATGGCGGTAAACCGGAACTAACAGGATCTGTTCAGATCCACATAACCGTTCTGGATGTGAATGACAACGCTCCGGAGTTTGATAAGCCTGGCTATAAAGTAGTGTTGTTTGAAAATGTCCAAAACGACACGAAAGTGATTCAACTAAATGCTTCCGATCTAGACGAAGGACTGAATAGAGAAATTTCCTATGGAATCAAAATGATTTTGCCAGTGAGTGAGAAATGTATGTTTTGTATAAATCCAGACACGGGTGAAATTAGAGTTTATGGAAAACTGGATTTTGAAGAGAATAATGCATATGAAATTCAGGTTAATGCCATTGATAAAGGGATTCCTCCCATGGCAGGTCACAGCATGGTTCTGGTAGAAGTTCTGGACCTGAATGACAATGTCCCTGAGATAACTGTCACTTCGCTGTCACACCTCGTGCTAGAGGATTCTCAGGTGGGCACCGTCATCGCCCTGATCAGCGTGTCCGATCGTGACTCTGGAGCCAACGGACAGGTCACCTGCTCACTAACACCCCACGTCCCCTTCAAGTTGGTGTCCACCTTCAAGAATTACTATTCTTTGGTACTTGACAGCGCCTTGGACCGTGAGAGCACAGCACACTACCAGTTGGTGGTGACAGCGCGGGACGGGGGCTCGCCTTCGCTGTGGGCCACCGCCAGCGTGTCCGTGGAGGTGGCCGACGTGAACGACAACGCGCCGGCGTTCGCGCAGCCCGAGTACACGGTGTTCGTGAAGGAGAACAACCCGCCCGGCTGCCACATCTTCACGGTGTCGGCGCGGGACGCGGACGCGCAGGAGAACGCGCTGGTGTCCTACTCGCTGGTGGAGCGGCGGGTGGGCGAGCGTGCGCTGTCGAGCTACGTGTCGGTGCACGCGGAGAGCGGCAAGGTGTACGCGCTGCAGCCGCTGGACCACGAGGAGCTGGAGCTGCTGCAGTTCCAGGTGAGCGCGCGCGACGCTGGCGTGCCGCCTCTGGGCAGCAACGTGACGCTGCAGGTGTTCGTGCTGGACGAGAACGACAATGTGCCCGCGCTGCTGGCGTCTCGGGCTGGAGGCTCTGGCGGGGCGGTGAGCGAGCTGGTGCCGCGGTCGGTGGGCGCGGGCCACGTGGTGACGAAGGTGCGCGCGGTGGACGCCGACTCGGGC